ATGTGCGTTGAAATTTGTATGTCTATTTTTTTAACTATTTGTTTCTTTCTTTAAAAAATTTCCCTCAAAGCATTTTAATATAATCAAACAAGTTAGGTGAGATGAACGTGTAAGAATGGTAAAACCGGAGAATAGAGAGCATAAATCAAAACATGTGGGAGAGAATTTCATTGGTAATACAATACAAAACTCAGAAATAAAATGTTCTGATCGGAGTTTTTATACTGGTTTCATGTGTGTCTTTTAGAACACAGGTTTTGCAGCTGTGGTCAAAGAGTCTTTCCTTAAGAATTTCATAATATCTTGAAATTACATGAAAAATTGTGTATAGGTACACATATGTATTTTCTGAGGGAGGACAGTCATAACTTTTATCAAGGAACCATGGAGATGGTTTATCTTTTCATGACCCAAAAATGTTTAAGAGAAGTGATATAGAAAGCCAATCCATTTGGTAGATGAACAGTATACTGATGACTTCAATTATTTTTTTAGCAAATATAACATCAGATGCTATAAGTGAATTGTTGCCAGCTCAACTTGAATAGTAATACTTCTTATTTATGGATGTTACTGTGGTGATATGTGTAGCATTTCTATTTATAGATGGAAAATTAAAGCATAACAAACAGTATTAATTTGCTCTAGAGAAAAGTGACCAAAAGAGTCATAATTCTTAATTCTCATCAAAAATATAATATGTACTTAATTAAAAGTCTGGACAATACACTTTGAATTATTACTATTTTTTTTATATTTGGTTACAATGTGATTTATACCTACGATAGCCACTATATTGTATTAATTCAATAAAGTGAAAAAAGAGAATAGAAATCATTTTCGACAATATATTCAAAAGGCAACCAAACTATGAACTTGACTTTTAATCTTCCCTTATAAAAAGAGTCTCAAATAAATCTGTACTCTCTGTTATAGTTAACACTTCACTAAATGTAAACTTCCTAAATGTTTGTTCATTCATTTCACAAGTAGTTATTAAGTGCCAGGCACTGTGCTAAACTCTGGAGTCACAGCCCCTGATTCATAGAGAATTCTAGTGATACAGATGCTATTCTATGGCTTGCAAGCACCACTTGCAATGTATCTCTCTTTAAGTCTTCTAATTCTACATTAGAATATTATGATATAATATCTTTACAAACTGCATAACAGCCATGTGGCTGTTCAATTCACAGCAAGTGTAAAATATGCTGCTAAGTCACGTAAGTGCAACAACTACATATTATGTGCATGTTAGAGAAAAGTTTAATTTATCACTGTATTTAGTACTATTTAGACAAATATTCTCACTTGGCTCAAAGCTACTATGATATCTAGTCTAAGCTACAATTAGACTTTTTATCCAACATTAAAACTATGTATAAAATTGTTTCCTAATCCCTCTTCAGATAATGCTTATTCTTGATTTAAATGAATTCTAAGGTTCAAACTTGGAAAATATTTCCATCCTCCCACCACAACCTAGCAGATTTTTCTGTAAATTCCCAGCCATTAATAGCAGTGCTTTAAGATTTGATTAAGCCAAAGCAAAAACAAATGCCAGTTAATGAAATCACAGAATTTCAGAACTGAACACATTATCAAATTTGAATTCCTTGTTTTAAAGATAGAGACTGGTATCTGGAGAGGATTCCTGATGTGTTCAAGGTCACACAAGTTAATAACAGAGCTGTGGTTAGTTTTCTGACTCCTATTCTAGTGCTCTTTTTAATACATAAAAGAAACGGTTAAAGGAAATTAAGAAGAAATTCTGAGGGAGGAAAAAATTACTTTTAATTACAAACATGAGCAAACCATAATTCAGAACACTTAGTAAGCTCTAAATTAAAATTATGCCTTATTAAGAAATAAGAAGTAAAATAGTCAAAGCTGAAAAATGATTGATCACTCTTCTAGGATATGGCTTTCATACAGGTCAACCCAGTTTTAACCAACTTTAAGAGCCTATTCCAATTATTTTTTAGTTCTGAAATTATTTCATATTGAATTGCACCTGAAATTAGTAAGGTACTGACTAGGGACCAGAAATCTTTTTGATTTACAGAGATTTTTGTTGTAATGGGTTTTGACCAAGAAACAGCAAATTAAAGTAAGACTCCAGACTTTCAGCTTAATTTCCTATATCACAATTTTGGCCCTTTCCCTCCGCCCTACTTTTAGGAAGTAACAAGGACTAGAATTCCCACTTCAATTTGATTTTTATTTTTCAAATTTAAATAGTTTCTTTCATTACTGTTGAACTTAACAATTTCTCCAACATTTCTGTATTTCTAAGAGTAAAATTCTGTTAGAGAAATAGATGATAAGGATTTAGCTAATATTCAAGTTATAAAATATGTAAACACACTGGAAGTCTGACTTTCATAACACTTTAAAAAGGAAGTGGTACTTGAATGGCAAAGGACTTATGGAACACCATTCTTGCCAATTCGTTTATCAAATTAAAATAGGTTTGCAAGCCAGAAAAACAGAGACTTTCTCTGGGCATCCATCAGCACTGCATAGTAAAAACTAAAGAAATGTGTATTTATAGGACTTGCATTCTGGTTCAGCAGGATGTGTAAGTAAAATAAAGAGATCAAAACAACAGATAAGTTATTTCTCAAGCTTAAAATGCTTTTGTGGTTCCTTTTCAAATAAAAATAATTAAATGAAAGGTTGGGCATATTTAAATGTTCTTAAAAGTCTACTGTACTAGAAAAATACAAAAAAAATTTTCTATTAATACAGATATCTACCATGAACTTAGGGCACACTTATAGTACTGGTGCTACCTACATACCAGCCACTGTTCTAAAGCACTTTTCACATCCTAATTTATTTCATTCTCATAGCAACCCTTTCAGGTGAGAACTCTAATTATTTCCATTTTACAAGGCACACAGCTAGTTGAGTGGCAAAACCAGATTTCAAATCCATTCAGACTCTAGAATGTGTGTTTAAGCACTGTACTGTAGTGGTTACTTCTTAAGAATTACCAGCTTTGTTGAGTTTATCTTTGAATCAGTTTGATATTGAAATTTAAAGACATATCTCAAAGTTTCATTATGAAACCCTTTAAGATATTATCATATCTTGAAGAATTAATAAGTTGTTAATAAGTTGTTTCTGTAAATACTTAGCCTTCTCTCTATATAGCTCCCCAGTAGGAAACATGGTTATATATAAACTAAATAATTTTCACCATCTAATTGTTAATGCAATATATGGTTATGATAAAGTTCCACATGGCACACAGACTACACTGGTTCATATTCTCCCCTAAGCTCATATACAATTCAACAGATAAACCTTATCAGTTCCATACTTGAATCTCTAATCTATCCTCCTGCTTTCCAAACCTACTGTCATAACCATTGTTAAGGCTCTCAGCACTTCATGAATCCCTCCAGCTTCAAATTCCTCCAATATACTCCATGGTGTCCGTTCAGGGGCATGGCTGGGTTAGGGAGGCAAAGGTACAAAGAATGATTGAGGCCCCCCATGCATTAAGCTTCATTAGCCATTCAAGTCACCATAAACAGACATAAAATCTTTCTTTTTAAGTATTTACTATTCAAACACAGCTTCAAGACAAATGCCCTGTCCTCCCTTCTCATCAAGTTGCCACCCAGCCTTCTCATAGAAACATCTGGGATCAGCATTTACCTTCTACCATTCTAAATCAATAACCCTTCCAAAATGCAAATCAAGTCATGTTATTCTCCCTTCATCCCTCCCCAAGATTTAAATTCCTTAAAATGTCATATAAGGTGCTTCTTGATTTGGCTACCAACCTTCCTCACCTCTCCTATTCCTTCACCCACCCAAGTTAGCTGTATTAAATAACCAGCATTTCTCTGAACATACCTTACTCTTTCAAGCCTTCAGGTTTTGCCCACACTACTCCATATATTAGAAATGTCTATCCCGCTCTTTGGACACCCAGCTAACTGTTGCTCATAGACTGAGATTCAGCTTAAACTATATCCTCCATGAAGCCCTCTGAAACTTCAGAAACTTTCCTGCTCTTCTAACACCTCTTCCTCTAAGCAAAGAGTGAAGACCAGCCTCCACTGTATTCCCCTAATATCCCAGATATAAATACCTTTAGTCTAGTCTTAATCACCATATGTTTCAACAGTCCTCACACAGCTCCATTTCCACCTTGTCCTAGTTAAAGAAATAGGTATGATCTGGTTTATCATTGCATCCTCACTGCTTCACACAATGCCTGGCACTCAGAGTTAACATTCAACCAGTTGGAATTAAGTTCTCCATTCAATTTAGTAATGGAGATATGTACATTAATAGAAGATAAAAATAATATTGACAATAATATTCATGGAAAATATCTGACCATTGTGATTTTTGAGGCACATAATGAAATTTAGGGCTTTCATGCTTCACTTCTTTAAATATTTTTTTTTAAATAATATTTTTTTAAAGTGTGGTAGTTCTAATTTAAGAACCAGCTGACACATGCCATGTTAGTTGTTTATTTGGTCATTGCTAAGTAGAACATCTTTTTAGCTATAACAAATAAGTAACTTTATTATACTAAAGTTGTTCGTTTTAATTTTTTCTTCCCCAAAGGAATGACCATATGTGGAAGGAAAGGCATTTTCATTCTCCTTTAACAAGATAAGGTCTGATTTGTGTGATTTGGGGCAGTTTCTTATCAAGACTGCCACTCTTTTATGAACATTATGATTTTCAGATGTGTAGTGTGTATTAAAGAACAAGAAGATATCATGAAATATTAGTGACAATTATATACTGAGCAGGGAAACCAGACAATGTTTCCAAGGGTTGTAAGGACTGCAGAAATGAATGTTACTCAAAACAGAGTGGTGACTTATAACCAATTTCCATCTTCAAATTAGGGCCAAAGTAAAAGAAAATGAAACTGAGCAAAGCATTATGGTGTATGATTTCCTGCAGCAGAAACACCCACCCAGACCAGTGCCCTTACTATGTACAGTACAAGAAGCAGCAACCTGAGGGAAGCCCACAGGCTCGCAGGGCTACTGGCTGGCTCTTTGTCACCAAATGCAGCAGGTTGAAGGCAGACATCACTGTGATATCTTCACCAACAAAACCAGAGGCAAAGAACAGGGGCAAGAGCTGAGTAGGAGAAAAAAAGAAAACAAAAATAAATTAAAACATAACAAATGTTAAATATATTCATTGCACAATTGATGATTATGATTTTATCTGGAACTGAACACACACACAGGGTGGTAATAAATGTCCAATCCTACCTTTCAGATGGTGAGCTTACTTTCACAGCCCAGACTTACTTGTGTTTGTGAATAAAATGCACACGACATAATAGTGTCATCTGTGAACACATTTTTGCAAGAGGTTCAGAAAAGAGAAGAGGTTTAAAACAGTTGCAAGGAATTGGCACTAGATGAGTTTGTACCATGTGACAGGAACTGTCTGGGGTCTAATACACACACTGGATCACTTAATTCTTACAATAAACCTAGGAGGCAGGTCATACCCCAATACTTAGGTGAGGAAACCAAGGTTCAAAGGCCCAAGGGCACAAAGCAAATAACCAGTGGAAAAAGGATTAGAAAATCCTGTTATATCTGACTGCAAAGCTGTGTCCTTCCCTTACACCATGTTGCCTTCTCCAGCAATTATTTGCAAATCTCCATCCCTGGAGAAGACTGTAAAATATTGTAAGGTTAAGAGACTTCCTTTGTTAGAGTTTCATTTTTTTAAATAGAGAGCCAAATAACCTAGGGACAACTAGGAGACTTCACTTTAGAAACAGTGTTAAGTTTGAATAAAGCATAGCAAATATGAATTTTCATTTGATTTTATGATTTATAATTTCTAAGTCAATTCTGTGAATAATATTCACCAACCTAGCCTTAAAAAGGGTAAAAATATTTTTAAAGCATTTGAAAATTAATAATGTGCAAGAATCTCAAAATTGCATGTTAAACTTTAGAAAAAAGTTCAGTTAGGATTTTAAAATTTTGTACAGTGCTTCAATTGCTAAAGATGAACTTCAAATGAACATGGAAAATACAAGATTAATATTAACTTCCAATGTTTTATGTGAAATTTGCATTATAAGTGGCCTTAACCACTAAATGCCCAAAAATGGGTATAAAATTAATATCTTACTCATTTCCTGACCCTCATCCCGCCAAAATGAGAGTCTGTTTCTGGTCTCTTCTGCCCTCCTTGAAGAACAAACATATAATAAACAGTAATATATTTGACCAAATTACTCTGGAGTGTATCTGACAGAAATCTGCTTGTATTAACATGCCTGAACTCTGACTTCTCCAAACTAAACTCACTACAAAACTAAAACATTTTTGTGTTACTAACTGGAGACAAAAGGAAGGAAGAGGGAAGGTAAGGATCACAATGCACAGCCTGAAAGAACCATTAGACATAAATAAACATGTCATTTTCACGAGTGACTGCAGAGCAAGGGAAGAGAGAGCATTCCTCTGGCGCAGACTACTGACAAATAAAAGATCAAAGGTCTATACTTCGCAACACTATAAATAAAAATGTATTTTCTTCCTTGTGACCTTCTCTGTGAGGAATAAAGTATGCACGGTAAAGGTAATTACTAAGCAAAGCCGCTGCCTCATTGTGCCCCCACAGCTGACCATAAAACGTCTTCCTATTCTGTTTCATCAACTGCTGTACCAGGCAGCCTGTGCGCCTACCAATGGCCTAGGCCATCTGGCTTGTGTCAAAGCCAGTGCACAGGAAGAAAGGGAGTGATGTCACTCTGCAGGTCAAGCAAAGAACAAAGATGCATTCTACAATTAAAAGCTAAGGGTCTCAAATACCCGGGGCTCTCCAGCACGATATGACTGCTTGATTTAATAATGTTTGGACTGTTTCATTTATTTCTACCCAAATAGCCCTAGCTCCACCTAGTGGCAAATCAGTTTTGCCCAGTTTTCTTTGAAAGTGAACACAGAAAGTGCTGTCTTGGCACCAACAAAGTAAAGCAATGAGAGTGATTGATAACTTTTAAAGCAGTCTAGGTTTTTACACTAGAAAATGCAAAAAGCATGACTTGTCACAACTCTACGTTTTCAGATTCCACAAAGCAAGCATTTCATAAGTTAGGACTTGATATAATCCTAATTATTTTAATGCTTTAACTCTAATTATAATAGAAAAAGCAGCTAATTTTGCAAAATTTATGCAAAGTGCCATTATTTACACACTATGCTGAAAATATGTAGCTGAGATGTAAAGTGAAAACAATTTTATAGAATAGATGCATGCATTTATGTATTAGTAAAATCAAACTCAAAATCTTATACTTCCACAGGACAAAAGAATCAATTAACATGGCTTTAACATGTGAAACCAAGAGCAACTCTTTTCTAGAGTAGATAAAAACTTATACTGAAATGATGTGACAAAAATTTTTGGTTAATGTCTCCCACTTAATTTGTGTGTAGTAAATGAAATAAACAGTTTGACAAATTGATCTGAAATACTGAATGCATTTGCATGAAAGATGGGATATCATGATGGAGGCTTGTGAGCTATGGGTCAAATAACCTGGGTCTGAATCTCGGCCCTGCCGCTAACTGGTTATGTTACCTTAGGCCAGTCACTAACCCTCTTAATGCCTTAGTTTCCTCAACTCTAAAATAAGTTAATTGGTAAAAAGCACTTGGAACAACTCCTGGCACATATGTATATGCTCAGCAAATGTTAACTATTATTATTATTTAAATGTACAACTACTACCTATATTTTTAAATTACATGAATTAGGAATTTTAACAGTCCACTTCGTGAAAACTAATCAAGGGAAACCTCACAGACTAGGAGTCGGGGAGGCCAGCAGGGGGAGCTTTCATGCCCTACCACTCAGTTGCAGACCCAACCAGAAGAGATAGACGGGGAGTCAGTACTGTTCTGGACGCTCCTTTATGAACCCCGCAATGGGAAGGACATGGCCTCCTCCCCTCCCAACAGCCCAGCCAACGAGATACTGCTGAAAATCAGCCAATGAGAAGCCACTAACCTCCCAAATCTCAGTTTACTCCAAACAGACATTTTGCTTCTAACAGCCCCACCCAACTCCACCCTTTCTTCTACTAGAGCATTCCCCTCCTTTGTTCCCCAGACTTGCCCGTGGTTTTGTCCTTAGCTTGCTTGTCCTGCATTGAAATTCTCTGCTATTCCTAAATAAATACATTTTGCCGGTGAAATAACTGACAGTTTTGTTTTGAAGGCTAATATTATTACATAGCCAATTCTATTTACTGTTGCAGGCCATTGCCAAAACAGAATCCCATTCAGGCCAGAAAATGTACTACTTTTTGATGGATTTCCGCAGTGATTTATCCTTATGAAAATGGCAGGACAAGGATATCCTAAAGAGAACAGCTGATGAAACCTTTGACATGTGGCAGGCACTATTCTAAGCACTTCACATTCATTAGCTCTTAATTCTCATGGCCTTATAAGACACATATTATGATTTTCCCATTTTTAGATGTAGAGACTGAGGCAGAGGGATGTTAAGTAATCTGCCTAAAATCTTGCATCTAGTAAGGAGCAAGGCCCTTAATTGGACTGAAGGATCTAATAGGTTTGAACCCAGGCCATCTGGCTCCAGGGCAGGAGCTCTGGGACACACTGCCAACTGGCAATGCAGAGCCTGAGGGGAGGGTACCAACCCACTCCAGATACTCTGATTCTAGGTTTCCCAACTAGATTAAATGTGGCTGCTAAAAACACTTAATAAGGATTCAATTAATTCAAAAAGATTATTTGAAGTCTCTCCATTGACACTGAGTGAAGAAAATAAGGAATTAAGGAAGTAAAAAGTCTGAGGCATACTCAGATTTCTAAATTTGATCTTTCTGTTCCAACAGATGAAATTTTCCTTTCTCTTCCATTTTCAAACGTTTTCTCTAAACTCACTGGATGCACCTTTAGGGATATATCCTGAAGACAGCTAGAATTGACTCCATTTGAATCAATCTACCAAAGCTTCAATATGCTGATGATATAGTACTTTTGAGGCCAAACAAACCAACAGCTACCCTTCACCCTGCAAAGTTTAACTTTCAGTTTGGCAGTTTTCTTCCTATTGCATGCTGAGCTGGGGTGAGGGTCCTAGCCAGAAACGATCCTAGTCCAAAGAGGCAAAAGAAGCAGAAACTTCAGGGTGGTAACTATCTTTAGGTAAAGAATTAGCATTAAACAACCTGTACAAATCAGCACTGAGCAAGAACCACCCAGAAAAACGTCTAATTCTCCAGACTATCCTCAACTTTCTCACTTTCGTATTGTCTTTGAGTTAAATAATTGCATACACGGATAACATTTATAGATAGTATGTTTTTTTTTTGAGTGCCAGGCATGTCTTACACATCTTCCTAATTTCCCAGAATATCTATTACATCATTTTGAAAATACTTGGTGTTAAAAAAATACTGGTTGAGCAATACCTAATGAGCAGTATCACAGTATGTGTTAAGAATAGAGTCAGATTACATAATTATCTATAATTTCCTGCTTAAAACTTTTTGATGAGTCCCCATTGCATATTGCAGAGTTTCCCAAACCACATTCTTTGAGAAACAGGAGATACCCTTTCAAACAAGTTTAGTGGTCAAACAGGTGTAGAAATACTACCCAATATAAAGGGTCTGAAAGGCTGTACAGTAAATACACTTGCTTAACTTTGTCTCAATTGGTGCCTCTCAAGCAGTTTTGACCATACAAAACCCCTTTCTTTCCTATCACCATCCCACTAACTACATTCTGGTAAATTCTTTGGATAAAGTCCGAATTCCTAAACAAAGCATCTAAAGTTCTACATCTACCTACTGACCAATTCTTTAGACTTCTCTCTTGCTGTACCTCTGTATCCCACCCAACCCCTTGCTCCGCCATACCAATATACTTGTAATTTCCCCCAAATAGTTCCTGTTTCTTACTTTCAACTCCATATCTTTCTTCACTCCATACCCTAACTCCCCTTATCACCACTCCCAACTCCCACCACTCCCACACTCTCCTATTCCCTCCCACCAAGGCACCAAGCATGCTGTCACGTCTTCTGGAAAGATTTCCAGGGCACTGGTTTGCTTACATACCTGTCTC